ATCGTTGATGCCGAGCATTGGTCGGGGTGAGGATCGTTGACCCTAAGCATCGGTCGGGAGTATCTTTGAGCGTAAGCATCGTTGACGGCGAGGATCGTTGAGCACAAGGATCGTTGAGGGTGAGGATCGTTAAGGATGGTTGAGGGCGAGATCGTTGACGCCGAGCATCGTGGACGGCGAGGATCGTTGAACGTGAATTATCGTTGACACCGAGGATAGTTGAGGGTGAGCATCGTTGACGCCGAGAATAGTTGGTGTCTAGGATCGTCGAGCGTGAGGGTCATTGACGCCGGGATCGTTAACAATGAAGATCGTTGACGTTGAAGATCGTTAGGGGGGAAGATCTTTGAAGTCGGCCATCGTTGAGCGTGAGTATCGTTAGCGCGGAGGATCGTTGGTGTCAATGATGGTTGAGCGTGAAGATCGTTACGGATCAGGATCAGTGACGCCGAGTATCGCTGGGGATCAATTAGCATCGTTGAGCATCGCCGACAGTGAGCATCGTTGACGTGGAGCATAGTTGGCGTCAAGGATCGTTGAGGGTGGGCATCGTTGAGAGTCAGGATAGTTGGAGATGAGGCTCGTTGACGGAAAGCGTCGTTGGCGTCGATGGACGTTGGGCATTGTTGAGCATCGTTGATCATCATTGAGGGTGAGGATCTTTGACGCTGAAGAACGTTGACGACAACGACCGTTGAGGGTCTTTCCAGTTGGAGTCGAGGCCCTTTGAGCGTGTGGATCATTGACGACAACGATTGTTGGGACTGAGGATTGTTGTGAATGAGGACCGTTGAGTATCGTTGACAGCGAGCATCGTTAACTCGGAGCATCGTTGGCTTCAAGGATGGTTGACAACCATCGTTGAGGGTGAGGATCGTGGACGATAAGGATCGTTGAGAGTGAGGATCATTGATGCTGAGGATTGTTGAGGATTGTTGAGGATTGTTGACGTCGAGGATAGTTGAGCGTCGTTGAGAGCTAGCATTGTTGACGTCAACGACCATTCACCTTTGTGGAGTATCGTTGAGCATGGTCAAGAGCGAGCATTGTTGACGAAGGACATCTTTGACGCCGAGGATCGTTGAGGGTGGGCATCGTTGACGTCGAGGATCATCCAGCAAGGCTGTCCATCCTTGAGCACCGTTGACGAGGAGTATGGCTGGCGTCGAGGATGTGCAAGGATAAGGATCGTTGACTGCAAGGGTCGTTGAGAGTGAAGATCGTTGACATCGAGGATCGTTGGCGTCGAGAGTCGTTGAGGGTGGGGATCGCTGGCGTCGAGGATCGTCGAGGATGAGGATAGTTGACGCCGAGCCTGCTGGCACGAAGTGTGTGGCGAATTGTTCTGTATTGAACCTTCGCCGTCCTCACTTTCAAGATGAGGTGTAGGTTTTACGACGTGAGCCTTCGACCCCTCAGCAAGTGTTGCTGCATCAAGTCTTTGCTCATACACTAGTGCAATAACCCTGTGCCTGAAACAGACGCCCAAGCCTCCATTAAAAGTTGAGGTTCTCCAGTGCTGGCGCTATCTTGAGTCCCGCCTACCGTCTCTGACGAGACGCTGCTCTTCCTATCCTACAAAGGTCACCCCCCTCCCTCTTGGGTCTATCTCTCTTGAGGGGTCTTTCCCGCACCCCAACCCCATCTTCCGTACCGCACACGTCTACCGTGTCAGCACATCATGATGGTAATCATGGCCATTCGGGTCCGGTACTGGGCCTATCCCCATCCTGTGTGTGGCGCGCCTGTTATGTACAAGCGCGCAAATATCGAAGTCCCTTGCGGTACTTGACGCAGGGTCATGCCTGCCGAATGTAAAACGTTTGGTTAACCGGATACCCAAACAAAATCATGGCACGTTCGGTTTGGCACAGCAAATTCAAGGATGATGACGAGCTTCTGGTTCATCTCTTGTGAGGACTATGTTCTAGACCGACGGAAACTCGGCATATCGCTCCGTCCCTTCGAGGCTCGTCTCTCCACCGGTGTCCCTCGTCCGTACTGCCCTTGCCCGCCGTTTCAGCACTCCATGTTGGCAGTCATGACGAAGCGGGTCGGGTACTGGGCCTGTCCCCTGTTCGATCTGTCCTATTTATTCACCGATCTCCCCCCCACCGCCTTCTCCGTACCAATGCCGTTGCCGGCCTTTTCAGCACTCCATGTTGGCGATCATGGCCAAGCGGGTCGGGTACTGGGCCGGCGGGTGCCTCGGCTTACCTACCCCGGGGTTGGACCTCGGCGAGATATTCGCGTTTTGGGTGTCGCTTGACGCCTTCGTCGTGCTGTCGGGGGCCGTGTTGACGGCGTACGTGGGCATCAGCGGTCTGCTAGCGAGGATGGCCAAGGACCGCTGCCTTCCGCAGTTCATGCTCAGGAAGGTCGGTTGTGTTTGTTGCTGCTGGCTTTTGCATGCGAGACACTTTCACGGTCACGGAGGCTATCCGTTCGTTCGACCAGATACAACTTAAGGGCTACATCTAACTGACACCACATGGTATGGGAAAATGCACACACGCAAGCAAGATTGCGCGTGATTTTCCTACATACGATCCCGGCCAAACGACGCATGATAGGTAGGGTAGGCTTCCCCCCCCCCCCCCCCCCCCTCTCTTTTCTGTTTTCACTGCTTATTTTCGTGGGACACGTGAGACCACCAGGTTGTAGGTGAGCCAACCCAGACGTGATGCGGCATCACAACATTCGTCTGTCTTCATGTGCGGTGCAACTGCATTCGTCTGTCTTCATGTGCCGCACAACTACATTCGTCTCTGTTCATGTTGCTGTAACGTATCTTCCGGTTTCATCCCTCGCGTGCGTGTCTTTGTGAACCTTGTGATACGACCGGGCTGTTGTGCATTCTCGCGCTTGTATTTCGCATCCGCCGCCCCAGAACAAGTGGAGAGGGACGTACCACTACACTATCTTCGGATTCTTCTTGCTGGCTACAAGTCAAGTCATCATCCTGCAGGTAACCCTTACCCTAACCTTAACCCTAGAGTACATAGACAACGTAGAGCACGTTTGCGATAGCAAAGGTGAGTGTGTTTTGTTAGTTGCGTCGACCGCTAACCGGCTGACCAATGAGTGCAGGCGTCAGTAATTTTCAGTGATTTCGTCTCACGTATCTAGAGGCCAGTCTACATGGAAAGTGCGTGTGTGCTTTTCCCCCCTCTAAGCTGCTAGTTTTGATGATCACTCCGGTTGCCAGCTAATATGTTTCATTGGGGATTAAATTCCGACGCGGGATGACGCCCCGTTGCGGAATGACGTCCCGGCGCAGAGTGACCAATGGAAAACGAAGTACCTTTACGGAATGACGATTCTTCGCGAAATGCATCACTGGTGTAGAGCTACGTCCGGTTGGATTTTCAAATCTCTAAACGGTATTGGGTGCGATCGGAGGTTTGCAGCCCTCGTGGTATCATCCCGCGGCAACCTCCCGGCAACTCCCCTTCTCGACTTTGCTCAATCCTCTTTGTCAGCTAGAGTACCTTATGCTGACAGCACTAGAGTGAGGTAAGAACCACCACCGCGCAATGATTGGCTCCTTCTTGATGTGTGCCTGGCGGAGGTATCCATCGTCAATTGCTCCTTTCTACAGGTGTCTCCCCTAGCGGCTCGGTTGAGATGCTCATTTCGCCGACAATTTTGTTTATCAGCAATACGTCGTGTGCTCGTTTTTGTTGGTGTCTTCACACAAACTACCGTGCCGGGTTCGGTCCGCTACCTCATCTACCCAAGCGTACTTATGTTCCGTAACTGTCGTAGCCTTGAAAGGCTTCCACGCACGGTTAATGTTACGACTAGCTTTTGAAAACGTGACCCTCGCCAGCAACAACAGCATCTGAAGGTGTCAATGTTCACCGTACCTGCTATTTTGAGCACGACCAAGCGTCAAAACCACAAGTTCATCAAAGCATACGTGCTGCTGTTGTTCCGATCGCTCCTTCCACCCAGGGGGACATCACGACCTTGTCAGGCGTGTACACGTTTTCATTCTTGGGGGTGATGACCCTTTTTTCCGTCGGCACGATCCTGCTCAAGTTCAAGAGGCCCTCGCTCCCGCGAGAGGTCACGGTCAGCTACGCTACCACCCTCGTCGGGATTACCTGCGTGAGTCCGGTACTGCTCATTGTTGTCGTCGTTTTTTTCTCCAGCTTTCCCGGAGCGGTATGTATTCATTTTCTGGATTCACTCTTTCCGTTTTTTGCGATCGAGAGCCGAAACAGTGTCGTGGTGGCAGAGGCGGTATTTCTGTACAAAAAACTTACATTTTCTTCAAATGTCGAGCAGCAATGGACGCGGGGGCAATGGGGCCAATGTTGCGTTGTCAGAGGCCGTCTTTGTATTGGTTTCTTTGTGCCTGTTCGCGAAAATGACCGCCATTTCAACCACCCTTCATGTGTTTTTTTCCGTCTATATAACGGTCGTGCAATGTTGGGCATTTCTCCGGCACCACCTTGTAACTGCCGATTTCATTCAATTGAATCCCGTCTCTTGTTTCCGTTGTCAACATGAACAAACAGGTGATAACTCCCTTCGTTGGGAACATGCTGAGCGAGCCCGAATAATCAATCCCTTCTTTTGTCTTCGTTTTTGCCATGAACAAACAGGTGATTACCGCATTCGTTGGGAACATGCTAAGCAAGCCCGAGGTGGTGTCGTGGTTCCTGATCTACTTCATGGCGGTGGGGTTCGTAGTTGTCCTGGTTTTCCTTCGGGTGCGGCTGCTCAAGATCTTGCTCAAGTTCGCGCACCCCGTCTGCTGCGGTGGGAGGACTTTTTTTTTTTTTTTCAATCTCAATGTCGGTTGCCAAGACGTTTTTTCTATTCTTCGGTATTCATTTTGTTTTCTTGTTCTTCGAAGGTACGTCTATATTGCCTCTTGACGTTTATGCAACGTTCGTTCGGCTACGTATCCTTCGAGGCGGGAAGTTCAACGGACAAGTGTGAAATTGTTGAAGTGTCTTGTGTACATTTCGTCCTACTGTTCGTGTGAGAACTGTCGCGATTTTTGTTCTTTATCACCAACATTTGAGCCTTTTCTTCTTAATCTTTTTTTTTTTCGCAATCGCGGGCGCTCACTGTATTGGACATGCCCCCCCCCCCCTCCTTCCTGTTGTTGTTTGGGGCATGCCTCACTGATGGTGCGGATCAGACGGCGTCACGTCGAGCATAAAAGACCAGCTTCACGAGCTTCAAGACGAGCCGTTCGTGTTCTTTTGCAAGCAACCAGATACGTACGTCATTAACAAGGCTATTCTATATGTCAGGTGAGGACGAAAGCCAGGTATGGTAGATTGTTGGATACCCTTCTTTCTGGCGGCATGTGACGGTGCTTGGTGCAAATACCTCCGCGCCATCCTCGATCCCGTTGTTGTTGTTTTCTTCACGTTCAGAACCGTTCCGGTCTCTCTATCCAGTAACTTCATCTGTCCGTACTGATCAATCACTTGACCGAGCGATACGCGTGGTCACAGGCTAACTTACCTAGTGTAGGAATACCAAAGAAAGTATTTTCCGTGCATGACGATAAGGTAACGCCCCACAAGTTTTATCCTAGCAGCAACACTCCTGAAAACAGTTTCACGGCCGACGTGTTTTGGGTTTCCCCACCACTAGGTGGATAGTTCCTGCCGTTGTGTCATGGATATACCGTTTTTTTCCGCCATTCCCCCGTGTGTGATTCCCTTGGCGGTTACACGAAATGGCGGGGGCCCCGTGGAGTAATTCAGAGGGGGGGTATCATCATGTTGTGTTGACCCGTGTGGCTTCTTTAAAGTACTGCTGTTCACTCATGGTGTGGGTTTGTACAAATGCTGAAGCTCTTCTGCTACCCACAGGGTTGGTCTGATGCATCGACCATTTCCTCCGCAGTGAACCGGGGGGTTATATATGTCTTACGACGTGTCTTCGGAGTTGCCGTCAAATTAGTTTCGTGGATGACATAGACCCCTGCTCGTGAACAAGGGCAGATATTGAAACGAAAACACATTGGCACGTTTGGTACCAGCCGTATGCTGTCGTTGTCGACGCACAGTGCCTTGCATTTTATGCCACCCCTTTGGAAACACGGCTCGGCTATTCAAGCCTCGCCACCTCCAAACGAAAAGGGAAGGGGTTAGCGTAGATGGCATGACACAAGATACCACATCCCTTGGGCCGTTTTTCAAACTTCGATCACTCCACAGCAAAGAAATGTGGCGGCGCCGAAATGGCGCCGTTTCGACGGTCTCGTCGAGATCTTTCCGAAAACGTATAATTTGATTTTGGCATCTTGTGTTGTCACCTGTGGTAGAGAGGAATGTAGCAGCGGCAGCAGCAGCGACCCCGACTGGCGTGGAGGAGCTGGGTAGACCCCCTCCAGGTGTGTTTGGTAGGTGCAAAGCAATGCAAGCATTGAAGCTGTTTCAATGCTTGCTTGCTTCCCATCCATCCAGCACACCTGTAGAAGGTCTGTTGCCACATCCGACACGCCAATCGGTGCCGTTCCCGTTGCCGGAGCTCACGCTCTCTCGGCCCCTCCCCTTCCCCTTCGGAGGTGGTGGGACGTGGTGTAGTGTGGCCTGTTGTTTCGTTGGAGGTGGTGTAGCAACGGACAAGGCACCGTGCGTTGAGGACAACGGCGGTCTTTTTTTTCCCGTCAAGCGTTCGTAGACAAGGCAGTATAAGGTGCCATGGGAACACGTCAACCCGGCATTCGATATGCGTTGTTGTAAGGGCCGCAAGGGAAATCGAAACTTGATGAAGGAAGAGTATGGTTGCTCTGTTTTGAAATCTGATTGCTTGTTGATACGGGTTACCTCGTGATCAGCACGATTCTTTTTTTAGCCTTGGTAGACCGCATGGGGTTCGACTTATTCTGAATGTTGGTGCCCAACAAGAGAAGAAGCAAGTCCTTGCTTGTTTGTCTTATCTGATGCAAAGTATTCTACACGACGTTGTTGTTCTCGATGCCCGTGCTTGGTGACCTGCAGGGACAACGAGCACACAAATAGGCTGATCGTGGTGCACTGCTCCAACGATGTCGAAGGAGCGACGATCAAGACGCTATCCAAGCACATCGAAATGTTCGACACCATGTACCCGAAGATCAAGATCAGCTTGTTGACGGTGACCGGTAGCTTCAGCCCCGGAACCATAGACTGGTTATCCCAGTGAGTGTGCCCCACATTTTTCGTTCGAATTTTCTCATCTTTCTGTGTTGTTTTTTGCTCTTTTCGATTCTGAATCTATTTCGTCTCTCCTCATGAAATAGTAGGCGACTAGTTGGGCAGAGCGTCGAAAACGTTTCGCAACCATGTTGTTCCGAACTGATAATGACACAACAGGGTTAATACAAAACCGCTTCATTATTGTGAAGTTCCGACCGGAGAATGACGGTTCAGATTTCAAACGAAATGGCCTCGCTACTTCTGCTAATTCCCACCTGGCCATGATGCAATAGGTTTCACACGAAATCACTTCATGACTGCTGTAAAGTTTCGACCTGATGCCTGATGAACCAGCTTCACACACACAAGTTTGAGCCGGCTTTTCAACCGAACAACCAACTTATCCTTCGCACTGCCCTGCCGTTTTTCGCGATTCCTTTGTTTGTTCCGGTTTTCGGATGTCTCGTGTTGGGATGCTCTTGTTGGTGCTCCTACGATGATGGACTGCAGAGAGCTCGGGGTCCTCAAGGTAGGCCTGGCATGTTGGCAGCGAGAGGATGGATGCCGCCCTTTGGCAGTCCCCATCAAGTCCAATAGCGGGCGAATCCACACCTTGTTGGTTGCATACGTTTTCCACGAGCCAGGGGTCATGCACGGCGGACGTGCCTCGTCTTTTGCCAACAGCGTCCACCTCATTCTGTTGTCTTTCGGGCGCTTCTCGACCAGGGGCTCCACAATATCTTTGGAATTTATTGTGCGCCAGCTGGTCAACAGCTTGCACAGCAGTACACTCTGCGCTACGCATGGTCGTGTTGGTTGTCGATTATTTTGTATGTGAATCACAACCCTACGTGTCGTGCGAGCACACAGCACACGACCTACCAGCGCTCTGGCAAGAGAAGCAATATCGACACAACCGTTTATCATGCCCCCCCCCCTAAGTATTGTGAAGTGGTCTCAGCTGCCCTGTAACCGATCTCTCTCTGTGTCTGTGGCTGCAGAACAAGTTCTTCATCACGTGCCTGGACTCGGTCTTCAAGTACAAGATTCAGGAGCTCGGAGGTGTGCGTGTCATCACGCACTGACTTTGTGACTTTGGCTTTACTTCGGAGTTGGCGGTGCTGCCCCTCGAAGGGACGGCGCCCCGTTAGGTCGTTTCTCTGCCGTTCGCGACGGGCGGGACCTTTAACGTATGAATGTGCGCCACAATCTCTACGCACGTGCTCTCGGGGTGGTGGGGTCTGTACGATTACGGGGGCTCTCGGCCTATCCGTTTGGGTTGGGACAACTTTGGTGGTAAGGTGCCTCTTGCATCTGCCAAGGCTTGTGGGTAATGCCTCAATGAACGAGTGGGGATTAACTCAGGGAGTCACTGTCAGCGACGATGAACAAGGCAACTGTGGCAGTGAAATGCGTTGGACCGACTCAAGGCTTTCGCATTTCTTGTGTCCTTCTTTCGCCGTAGCCATGCCCAATTACGTCAATCGTTCTGTGGCCCGTGAGACTCCCGCAGCACCCGCTGTGCCTACACCGCCGGTGCTGCTGAGCCCCCCACATGACACGTGTCACGTTATCACACCTCGTGAGTTTTAGACACCACCTCGGTATCATCCCCCCTGTAGGTTGAGTCGTGTGGGCGCACTTCCTCTCACGGGTGACCTTATCAAACCCCATTTTTATCCCATGACTTCTAAGTGTCGTGTAACGGATGACAGCTGCGCATGATTTAACTTATTTTCTGGTGCTTTCACTTGCAGAGGCAGTTGTAAGCACTGGGTAACTGCCTCGAGGGTGCTTGACCAATTCAACACAACCTGGCGCGATTATCTCCTTTGCGCCGAGTGAGCGTGCTCGACCCTGCACAACATAATCTACTCGACCACCATTCATGGTTACCGCAAAAAAAAAAACAAGAGGAAAAAAACAACAAAGCGGTAACCTGGATGTCGAGCTCACGAAGTGATCGGCTTGTTTTACAACGTCGCTGCCAAGCGACGAAAACCCAACCCCTATGGCAAACACGGGGGGGGGGGCGAAACACCGGGGGAATATTTTGTCGGGGATGAAGTATTTCCGAGACAGACTAGTTGCAGAATTGTGTTGCCGTTACGGAAGGTCCATCTTCGATCTCATTGAAGATAGAGTATCTGCATAGATAGATGCATACGACTTCCCCAGGGCGGGCTAATGTAGTGGAGAGCAACTCGTGTATGAGCGCTGTATGAGCATGACATGGATATTTTGTACTTTCGTTGGTTGCTGTGACTAGGATATTATCTATGTAGGATTCCAACCCCCGTCCTCACTCTCGATTTGTGAGCGAGCGCGGAACGCGGGCCTCACTATGTATGTACAGTATGTACATTGAAATGCAACAAGGGCCATGACAAAATGGGGTATACCCCGAGTGTTTGGGCACGAAATGGGGTATGCTATTTTTCGATGTGGGGCGCAACGCCTGACGCCAGGTAGGCGCCTCTAAACCGCTAGCGCCTTAGCCCCATGCGCCAGGTCCTTACAACGCCCAACTTTACTGATTTTCGTTTTCACCCACAGGAACAGGGTCAACTAGGGCCTGAAAGAGGGGAGCTTGTTGGAGGACCCCGTGTTGTTCATGATCTTGGGTTATAACCTTTGTGATAGGTGTACCCTGGCAATGGCCACTGTGTAGTAACAGCAGTGTCCAGAGGCTCACAGCGGGACTGTAAAGTACCGGTACACTTGTGTTGCAGACTAGATGATATGGTTGTATTGGCGCTTAGTTGGCCGAAAGGTCAGAAAAGAGAAAGGAGAAGAAGAAAGAGAGAGAGATCGAGAAGATGGAAGAAGTGAGCGAGTGGGGGCGAGCACCACGGGGGCGAGCCATCCACCGTCATCACGGAAAAAGGAAACACACACGGGCTAGACTATTGCACCGTAACGATCACGGCAATAGACGGTCACTCCGACCTATGGCAACGTTACCAGAATATCCGATAATAGGACACTATGGTCCGATGTACCGTTAGAATGTATAACCCGTAGGTAGGTGTGTACAATGATCCGACTACTGAATCAACATTCCGAAGACTATTTCGGTAATACTCCTTAGGTGAATACCTACTTACTGTTGTTTACAGCACTACAAACTCTCATGAATGGCATTGAGTATTCCAATACTCCCCCGCAATGGAAGTCATACAAAGAAACGACATGCCAATTGAATTCGAAGAAATGTTCTCAACGAAAAAAGAATAACACAAGGAAATGATTCAATTTACGATCGATACAGCGTTCTCTGCTGTGTATGCTTTTCAATTCGAAACACAGTAAGATTCTTACTGCGTTTGCCAAGAGAAAACTCCAATAGTTAACAAGAGGAATTCCAAGAGAGATACACAACAACGGGTACATATCTTTGAACGGGGAGGCCTTGGTGTATGGCTGTTCCGAGGTTAATTCCAAAAGATGACGTGTACGTCGGAACTCCGTCCAGTGTGCGCACACTTTGCTGCTTGCTGCCACACATATATATGTACTACGCTGCAGCAGTATACAGCAGTATACAGCAATAAATACGTTGGAGAGAGAGGCCAACTTGGAGAGACGGGAGACTTTCATGACTGCTACGCTGCTGTCAGCGAATTAGACGATGTAGGATGAATACGCACGCCTGCCTGTGTTGAGACGTCGTATGTGGTTGGGATGTGTTTCAAGAGAGAGGCAGAGCGACACTACGCAGCGAGGACATGCTATTCTCCCTCACTCTCCGGCTGGGCAGACAGCTAGCTGGCTGAAATATCGCATGCATGCACGATGAACCAGAGGATGATGAGCACATCAACAGACAACTACGGCTCGCTGTCAACACAAAGCACAAACACCAGACACGCAAACCCTAGCCACTCATGCGCCAGTTATTCAACCATACACCTTTCAGGAGGACACTCTCACGGTCGATGGTTATGATGTATGCCTTATGTCACCAAGCGGAGAAAATCCTTTCGAAAGAAAAAACACACCACAACCGATTCTTGAGCGACGACAGCAGAAGATCGATGCATAACTGGATGAGAGATTCATGAAGCTATGCATAACTATACATATGAATACTTGCGTGTGTGCGCGGTGTCAAAGCTCTGGGGGTGCGGGTCAGGTTTTGTGTCCGTCCTCGGCCGTTCTTTGCGTCTGACCGAGATTGCCAGCTGCGAATCCCTGGAGGGAGCGGATGATGGGCGGAGCTGTTGGGTTTTTCAAGACGAGGGTTGCGGTGTTCTTTGCTGTCTGTGCTGATGTGCTGTAGTGGTTGGCTGTAGAAGAGGGTGTTGTATGCATAGACGAGGAGTGATGCATCATCTGTGATATATCTCAAGCAGGAGGACGGAGAGGTGGAACAGCCTCCGAGGTAGAGACACGCAGGCTATCTATGTAGCAAGCTTGCACGGTGGTAGGTGTTCGAGTGGTAGCAGTCGGTGTCCCTGCGGTTGTTTCGTGCGAGCTATCATCCCTCCCTTCCGTCATGACCGCACGTACAAAAAGCGAAAGATCCATCCTGAATATATTTGAAATCGGGCCAACACACCCCTATCTGTGTAGCAAGCTTGCACGGTGGTAGGTGTTCGAGTGGTAGCAGTCGGTGTCCCTACGGTTGTTTCGTGCGAGCTATCATCCCTCCCTTCCGTCATGACCGCACGTACAAAAAGCTAAAGATCCATCCTGAATATATTTGAAATCGGGCCAACACACCCCTCTGAATATTTATTCGGGAACAAAGATCCAGCCGGAAATTCCCGACCCATTGTTCTGGAATCTCCGCGCGGTATTTTAAACTCGAATTCTCGGGGATCCCGACAATCCAGTCATATAATCCAGGAATCTCGAGTGAGTTTGAAATATGTCAGAAGAGAACCTACAGCAGCAGCAGCATCCCTGGCGACAGCGTTGCCGCCCGGACACTACTCCGGAGTACGCTGTCACTGTTGTCCACACCTCCTCGGGTACGCAGCGGAAGCTTATTCTCTCATCGTTATATTGATGACACAAGAAGAGAGTCGGGATTTATTCGCGAAAAATGTTATTATTCTGTTCTTCTTGCGGGGTGGAATTTCCGGCTGTGGCAGCTTGCGGCGTGACGGAAGGGTCTCTCTGTTTTCCTGTTGTTGTTCTCTGTGCTTCTTTTTTTGTTCATCCGCGTGCGCTCCAAAGTGATTCGATAAACCGGAGAGAGAGAAGTAGACGCACAGATACACACGTACGAACTAATACATTATTTTTCCTTGACAATACACAAAACAGCTGTGGTGATGAGAAGCTACAGCTATAGACTATATAGCTCCTCGTCCGTGGTGAAGACGGCTTTCCAACTGCTGGAAGCAATGTGTGGATTTTCTTGCGGGGGATGGACTCTCCGGCTATATATGGCAGCTTGCGTGCAGAACAACAACAGAAGAACAACGGGCGCCGCAAGCAATGACGCTGCGCAAATGATTTTTGGTACATACATGTACTCCATCGAATGTTTGTTTTGTATGTATTTAATACTCCCGTGTATGCTTATATATTCCGACGTCTTCGAGATAGACTGGCTAGATGTGGTCCTTCTGGCTTTCCGATCACACGACGTCTGTCGCTCTGTCCTCCGCTGCACACCTTTATTTGCGGCTCTCCTGTCACACGAGGCAATAGGTCTGACCCTTTGTCGCTTCCCTCTCTGCCTGTCTGGATCTGTCTACGCTGAGAGGGCTCCATTTTGGGTCTTCTCGGTCTCTCTCCCAGTGCTCCATTGATTTCCTCGTTTCCATCTGTTCCTCGATGTTGTTTTCTTGCGTTCACCGTTTCTCTCTCATGTCTCATCATTGCGTCTGGCTCGTTCATCACACCCGGCTCGGTCGTACGGAACCTTTCTCCCTTTCACACACGTCACATTACGTCGTGCCGCCAGTATCTCTCCCCTCTTACACAAAAACAGCAGTCTTTCTCATGTCCCACACCGCAGCAGTATGTATGTAGAGCTTTTTAACATGCAGGTTCATATTTCCCGCTTTCATTTTTTGAAAAATGTTCATTCCGTTTTCCCGCTATTTCTCGCTCGCTCGAGGAAGGAACGATTTTGGGCGCTTTCCTCTGCTCGCCATCCACCACAACAAATACATCTCATCGTTTAACTACGCCTCTCACGGGCTTTAGGACAGTCTCTCTCTCTTTCGGGCAGCCAGTAGTCTGCTCTTTGACACGCCGGACTTTAACATGCTTCAAAATACACGCGTTCGTCTCCCTGGGATCTCGCATGTACGCGCCGAACATGCAATGCATGTCTACAAGAATTAATTTGATCTCTCTCCGGGATCTTTTCAGGGCTGGCTTTGTTTATCTCCGTTTATCACATGCATGCAAACAACCCCAAGCATATTCATTAGAACGTTCACGGGAATCTCACGGCCACGGAATGCCACAAACGAAGCCCCGTCCAACAAACGCCGACTAACATCGTGCATCAAACAACAAGTAACATTCGTCTTGCGGTATGCTTCTCTCAGCGTGGCGGCGTAAGCCACCAAAAATCCTTGTACATGTATGTACCTCCTTTTTTCTTCCTTCATTGCAAGGGGCCCCGTTCAAGATCTGTTCAATATCTGTTCGGTTGAACCGCATTTTTTATCGACGTGATTGGCAACTCGTCAAATGCGCGGCACGCACACCTACCTTCCCTCGCAGCCCTCCCTCTACCCTCAACGCTATCCGCGAGAGCCTCTGCTTCCGGGCCTGCTGCTGTTGGCTGTCGCGTGGCTGCTCCTCCTCCGGCTTCCTCGCCGGTCATTATTATTGGTTGTGGTGAGCCGCGTTGCTGGCAGTTTGGTCCCGATGTCGTGCAGCTGGATTAACTCGTGATGACAGAAGAGACGCGTGTTACCCCCTCTTGTTGCCGTTGCTGTTGCTGAAGTGGCGTGCTCCTCACAACTCGAACAGCTTGTTTGCCGACGGGAAGCCGGCCGGCTTGCGTTCACAGGTTTTGCTGTACGCCCGCCTTTGTTTTGGAGTTCGCACGCTGACCACGGTTGCCTCGTCTGAATTTCCAATCGATGGACGCAAGACGCGAAAGTGCACCGTGGGCCGCAGCTGGTGGTTGCGGCGAGCTGTAGAATGTTGCGTCACAAACATCAGCTACACTGCCTGGTTTCCAGCCGTATCCGGAGAAAAGGAAGGTCGCAATCAGGCTTCGACTTTTCCCCCTTTCCCCTTGGTGTTTGTTTTCAGAAGGCGAAAGCTCTACTTAACGGCTACCACCGTTGCTCAAACGTTTTTCGCAAGAAAACGACGAGACGGGCGCGCCAATTTTTGTAATGAAATATCTTATCTCGCCACGTGACTAACTGAAAGCGCAGGAGAACAGCAGCAGCTGCTAGAGGCAAATATCGTGATTGCTCCCATGTAAGTACGTCAATCGTTTGATTGGCTTCCGAAGGTTCGTTCGCACATTGTGCGAATCTGATATGATATCAGAGGTCAAGGGTCTGTCGAGACGCGATGGTCGTGAACAAGTCCCAAGCACTACAATGAAAAATTGTGTTGTCTCCTGTACGATGAAAACTATTAATAGTCTGTCTGGTACCAGGTCTGTACTGCTGCTGCTGCTGTAAACCACAGTCAGCGATCAGAAAAACAAGAGATGCGTACACGAACGAGACAAATAACAATGTCACCGTTGTGTGACGAGTGCGCAGAGTGAGCACTGCAGCGGTGAGTCTGCGTGACCGACTTGATGTGTCAGTCAGAGAGTTCAGAAAAAATGGTATGTTGTTGTCGTCGTCACATTAAACTCGCGTCAGTTGCTAATCCCAAAATCTAGCAAAGACGCTATTGTAACTTTTTATTTTTTTGGTTGTTGCGGGCAGGAAACAGAGCGGACCCGGTAGGCGGGTGCGCGCTTTGTCTGCCATAATCTTATTTGTCCGTCGGTAGTTACCGACGTAGATGCAAAAAGAACTCAAAGGCTAGTGCAGAAGCGTTGCGGCAACTTAAATACCATTCCTGGTACCTGTACCAGTGCCATTCTCCGTACTGCTACTACTCCGGAAACATTGCGGGAACCGTTCCTACGTTCCTGGAATGTTCCGGGAAATTTACCTTCGTACAAAAATGGCCCGCATGCTTTGAAAACACGCAAAGAACCGTTGTGCGGTCTGAAACATGCATGGTAAACGGTTGTGAACGCTCCTTTGACAACCAGTCTTGACTACATACTTGGTGTGTGCAAGTCCTATCAGTAAAATACCGAAGTATGCCGCATTTCTTCTACTTGAGCAAAGTATAGAAATCGGGACGTTAAAATACTGCTCTACGAAATCGCTACAGAAATGCAGAGTCAAGACAGTTCGTGATGTTTACAGTGGTCCTGAATATTGAAATTCAACACTCCTCCTCGATTGTGGGAGTGAAGTCAATCTCGAATGAACACATTATTAAAATTCCAATGCATGCAGCGTAATCCAACTGCTTCCTGAGTGCGCATACTGAAATTCAAAGAATTTGCTGCAGCGTATTCTTACTGCTGCTTACATGTGCAATTCGGAAAAATCAATTAGCGTTGTCCGTTGAGGCATAGTAGAACCTCATGCTACCATTCACAAAAAAAAACAGTCGTGATTCGACCAATTCCCGTTTGTTCAGGGAATGTTATTACAAGTTGTATGGATCATCAACATTCACAGTGTGCCCATTACATACATGCACACATTCATGCATTCAATCAATCAACTTTTTTGTTCAAGTGGTTGTCTTGCAAACCATTTTCTTGTCACAAGAAAGCGTAAACAATGAACAAAGTACGCATGCAACCAACTCTACAAGAAATCAAGTTTACGGTCAAGCGAAAAAATTCAGACTCAGTTAATCTGTCGTCGATTCTTGACATAGTTTGGGTTTACAGGCTTGTCTCGTACAACTGGGGTGCGCGAGGCGATGATTTCACGGAGCCCCTCGGAATAATCAGAGTTGAAGCCTGGGTTAGCTGCAAGCATTTCGGTCATGATCCAGCATTGTGTCAAGAAAGTCTAGACGCTATTCTTCATTACTTCTGCCATGTCTTCTTCGTATGCTAGTGAACGTAGTGAGTCCATGAAGGAGAGTACAGTTGGGAAAGTGTACGTCACCAACGTTCAAGCGTTGCAAAAAGTCGTGCGTGGCGAAAAACTCGACTTGGCTTCGACTTGGGAACCAAAAACACGATACGACTGAAACATCCCCAGTTCTGCTCTCTAGTAAGACTGTTTAGTTGTACAAGCACTAGCAAGCTCTCACCTTGGAGGGCTTGGTCGGCATCCAGTCCGAGTCGCTGTCCGTCGCTGACGACTCATCACTCGAAGAGAACATGTTGTCTATGTACCTCCATCACGCTGCTCGGCAGGGTGATGTTGCCGTTCATGAATCGAATATTCGTCTGTATGTACGTGTGCTCCATAATTTGCTGAGTGAAATTCTGCACGAAAAATCTTCGTTCTGCGGAAGAACGTTTTTACACATGATGCTGTGTCGCATACGTTGCTCTCGTTTACCGAGATTGCCCTATAATTCTCTTTACCCTTGTCCGATTTGTCCCGTAGTGCTTTCTTTGATTCCTCGTGGCGTGTGCCGTGGGATTGACTTAGTTCGAGAAGCCTGATGAATGTGGCTTTCGGTAGATTTTTTGTGAGACAGTCGGCATACATGGTTTCCGTAGGTGAGTACGTCAATTTCACCATGTCTTCCTCGGCTAGGAATAGAGATGATATGAACGATTTCCGGAGCTCTAGGTGCTTTGTGCGAACCTGATACCATTGGATTTCCGATGGACGCTAAAGCTCCTGTGTTGTCGTTTGAAATCGTTATTGTCTGAAACCGATTGACACCTAGTTCATGCAGCAGACCCCGAATGTTCATTGCCTCCTTAGCCCTAAGCGTCATGGCCATGAGTTCTGACTCGAGGGTCGGCAATGCTGCAACGCTTTGTAGCGATGATATCCATGAAATGGTTGCGTTTGCCAGCACAAACATGTAACCTGAAGTGCTTCGTCGCGCAACAGATTCAGCTGCAAAACTAGCATCGGCATAACCCAACTTGAAGTCACTGCTGTGTTTGTACACAATATCCAGAGTAGGACGTGACTTCAGATGGCGGAGACGGTGCTTAGCACGAGTCAAGTGAATCTTCGATAGTGTGCTAGTGAAACAGGCGGCCCTACCACAGAACTAACAACAAATGTTGGTTGTTTTGTCCTGGCAGATACTGACAAATCCAAATCATATTCATGGATTCTACTGGATAGTGAGAATCGCTCGAATGCGATAACCGCGGGAAGCACTGTTTATGCTAGGAACACGCCCACACCCACGGCCGCCATTCACGTCTGATGTGTTTGGTTGTCGGCATAATATATCCGCGTGAATCGCCCACTGCGACAACCCTGGTAGCACTGTCCAAAACCAAGCCTACAAACCATGGTCGTCAATCACAAATTCATGTGATTCGCCCTGGCAATGTTGACAACATCTTATGATTGCCGAGACTGTCGAATTTGTGCGAATGCGCTGGCCGCAGTAGACATCGTTTTGCAACCGGCGCTCCATCACCACCTTTATATGACTGGGACACGTAAGATTGGGTGGTCTAAGCAGATACTGGCAACCAAGTTCTGATCGACATGCCTGCGGGAATCACACGAATGCAACGACCGCGGTAGGCAACATCGTTGAAACAACTACCACACCACCGCCGACCACAATTGATGTGTCTGGTCCTGGCAGACACTGACCGCGTACAATATGTATGGATGGCAAGACTGCGTGGATCGTCACAAAGCGACCATCGCAGTTGGCAGCGCTTTGGAAACCGAACGCTCCCACCCTATCTGCAAAGCACTGTAGACGTGTTTAGTTCCGTCGTCTCCTTAGATTTTATTCCTCTTGATGCATTCATGGCTGCGTGAACCGTGCAAAGCGACATCTGTGATAGGCCGCAAACTTCATGACCACGAAGCACGAGTAACATGTGTGGTCCCCGCAAAAAATGGGCTGCGTGCACGGCACGATGGGACACTCTGGTACGTAGTGCTGCGGGAAAACAAGCCTACAAACCACGGTCGCCAACCACGGTCCCGCCAGAAATATATCTGCGTGAATCGTCCACTGCGACAACCCTGTTAGTTAGCACTGGTCAATACCAAGCCGACCGACCAGGACCGTCAAACACGATTGATGCGTCCGGTGCCGGCATAGAAAAATCTGCGTGAATCTGCGACAATTCTCGTACGTAGCACTGTTCCAAGTCAAGCTCACCGACCACAGCCGCCAGACACGAGTCATGTGTTCGGTCCCAGCAGAAACTGATCTGCGTGAATCGCCCAATGCGACGAGACCCTGGTAGATCACCATTTTCAGAAACAACAAGCTACCAACCACGGTCGCCAAACACGATTTATGTGCTTGGTTCCGGCATGAACAAATCTGCATGAATCGTCCGATGCGACAACCATGATGTTCCAAAATGAAGTTCACCAGCCACGGCCGCCGAATAAAATTGACGTGTTTGGTCCCGGTATACGCAAAACTGCGAGAATCGCCCCATGCGGCAACCCTCGTAAAATCGTCCCATGCCACAACCTTGGTAGGTCACACTGTACAAAATGAAGCTCACCAGCTACGGCCGCCAAACACGATTGATGTGTTTGGTCCCGGCATAACCTGATCTGCAAGAACCGCCCCATGCGACAACCCAGGGTAGGTTGCTACAATGGACCACGAGTGACAACATCAAACATCGACATCCCTTGTCGGGGACAACAAAATTTGAAAGGTTTGTCACGATGTCAAAGCAGTAGAGTTTGAACGTTCCTTTCGACCTCCCTTGTCAAGGACAACACTTTTTTTTGTACGGTTCTGTCGATATCTGTTGTAAAACCGTAGTAGATTCGCGAAGGTTCCTATTGATATGAATTGTGCATAGCAACAGACTTTCAACGGTTCTCTCGGAAGCCATTGCCGATGGGTTCATGACATGTCATCGATAAATACATCGTTTACTGCAATAGATTCTTGAGCGGGCTACCGATATAGATGTTGAAACAGTCGACATCGAGGGCAATCTTCCCTCAAGGTCGCAAAGGTTATCCACTTGCACGAGGACATGTTCGAAGGCTTCTTCTAATGCTGCCAGCATCGTCTACCGGAAGGAAGTCCTCGAAGTCTGTTGTTGCCGACGATGTTTATCGTAGTTTGCAGGGATGCGCACCTGGCCGCGGCTGTTGGCGAAGCATCGCTAGCCCGTCTCGCAGTCTTTTGTCGAGGGCGCTGATGCGGGCTTGGCTGGCACCGGGCGTGGCCCCTTTCCATACTAATTTGACTTGGTCGCAGTGAGGATTCCCACGAGCTCCGTGGGCAGGCGGTCAACAGCCTACCGGTCGTCGCCCGGCGTAGCCAACTCCCGAATGTCGATGTTGGCGATGTCGTTGATAACTCCGAGGTTGTTCTTCGTTGTCCCCGCCTTGTCGTGCATCAGGAATTTCGCTCTCTGCAGGGTCAGCCCAGTGGCCACCGGCTAGGTCGCTGTGATGATCCACCGCCAGGAGTTTGCCGTGTTGGCCCAAGCCCTGGCTGCTCCCTTTCGTTTGAATTGGCGCGTTGTGGATGTCAGCCCAGTCGCGGGAACCTCCCGCGGCGGTGGGGGTTGGCATGTCGGTAACGATCACGTCCGTCTCGGCGGCGTCGTCGGTCACAGTCGATGTCCGCTTTTCACTGGTTGTTGGGGCCCTCCAGGCTGGCGACCATGCCCTCGATGTCTGCCAACCGCTGGCGAAGCTGCCCGTAGTTGTCGAAGGTGCGTGGTGGCATGTGCGCGGTAGGCTGGGGCGCTCCTCGTCCGCCACGCGCACCACGCACACCGTGTCCCCCTCGGCCCCGTCCCCGTGCCCGCGACCGTGTGCCTGACCGTCTGGCTACCGCAGTGCACGAGGTGGACCGACTAGTAGACTGCCCCCCCCGTGCGGTCTCCCGCCCCCGGCCGTTGTTCCGTGTTTGCATGACTATTTATTTATTTCTTTGTCTTCAATCAGCGCTCACAGCACTATTTAGTGCCGTTTGCTCCATCCCGTGGTCATACAGAAGAGCCCCTCTCTACCCTCCCCTCCTGCGGTACTTTGCCTTCGATTTTTAATGCGAGAAGAGGTCAACACTCTCTTCCCTCTGTGTACACACGAACTAGCGCTAGCCACTAGGCCAGAAGCGGAAGCGAGAGAAAAACTCACTTTGCAAGAAAAGCTCGCTTACGCCAGGAGTCGAACCTCTGACCTGACCTCTAGAAGGTTTCGAGGATACCAACTAGACCACCGGGGCGACCATATGGCCATCTGAATATGTTTTTTCGAAGCGTCAGCGACGGCCGGCCCATCACGGGAATGTTTGATTGGGACATTCAAACATGCGCTGCGTGCATTGCCTTAATTAAGGCAACAATCGCCGCAGGTGGAGCCCGGTTGGAAAACGCACTAGATACGTAGTTGGTACAGGCAACAGATCGACTCATTACTTGCTCCGGTTGTTGACTTCGGATGATGCACGCAGAAACACTGAACAATAAAATGTCATTGTTGCCGTCGCCTGTACCAACCACATCAGTAGCAACAGTGGTTGGCAGCCGCGGTATGGGGAGCGCTGGTTGGAAACCGCTCCACCCGCTGCGGTTGTTGCCCTCGGGCGATCCCTTTTTTTTTACGAACAAACCGAGTTCTCGATTTTGCACGGAGGTGCGTCCCACGTAGAATGGGGGCATGCGGAAAAATATGTTTGCGTGTGTGTGTGTCGTACTGGCATTCTTAAATCGACATTCTGCCTTTTGCTCATAAGTACTGCCGGCCGACGATCAATCAATGTGCAGAGCTTTGCCAAGAGAGGAAAACGTTCGCATGTAGAGCAGCAACAGAACATCCTGTTTTCGATCACGAAGAACGTCTATACTGAAGAAAAATCTCTCATTAGGTTTGTCCATGGATGCAGCACTCCGGCATGCCCCACCCTTCCCCGGCCATTCTATGACAGCTACTAAGCAGAAGCCCGAACCATGTTGTATATTACCATGTAGACTGATCCTGTACGCACAGTAGCCCTAACATTATGATTGTCTCACCGTACGCTCGCACGAACATGAACAGATACCGGACGAAAATAATGCAGATGGCAAGGTTGTTGCAAGGCTGGGTCTTGTTTGTGACCGTCTACAGCTTCGGGCGATCGACATCCTCAAGCACGGAAATTCCCGATTCGTCTGATGACATCATATGTCCCGTCCAGGCTTTCGTATGTCAAGGAAGCACGGCCTGCAACGAGTGTCTCGAATTAATTGGCGACCTGCAGAGCACCACAATTAGCACCACGACAACCGAGGACTGCGACAAAGTCTTCGAGTTCGTGTGCGAGGTTCTCGACGACATCGGGTGTGATCTAAGCGACGCGTTCTTGCTCGACTTAGCGAATTGCGTGGCAGAAGAGGGGCTTGGTTGTGCCGATTTCGACACATGCGACCCGTACATCGGGACGATTCCTCCTACTGCGGAAGTTACACCGGCTCCGGTATCCGATGAAACTCCGACACCTACTGCCGCTGGTACCCCCTTCCCTTCCGTATCTAATAGGTCGCTTCAGCCTGTTGTTGACACCAACAATGATAGCTCCGGGCGCACCGCATGGTGTCCTAGCGTTTGGGGGGCCGCCG